ACCATGGTGCTTGCCTACGGAGCTGTGAGGGGAACGGCACCTCCGTACCTTCAGGCTCTGATCAGTCCCTACACCCAAACGAGGGCATTGCGTTCATCCACCTCTGGCCTGCTGGCTCCACTACCTCTGCTGAAGCACAGTTCCCGCTCAGCCCAGTCAAAACTGTTCGCTGCTCTGGCACCCCAATGCTGGAAAAAGCTCCCTCACGACGCCAGGACAGCGGAGTCACTCACCACCTTCTGGAGACATTTGAAACCCCACCTCTTTAAGGAACACCTGGGACAGGATAAAGTAATCCTTCTAACCCCCCCCCTTACCCCACCCCCCCAAAAAATAAAAATAAATAATAATAATTGTAAAGTGGTTATCCCACTGGCTATAAGGTGAATGCACCAATTTGTAAGTCGCTCTGGATAAGAGCGTCTGCTAAATGACGTAAATGTAAATGTAAATGTTTATCATTTTAAAAGGCTAATTGATCATTAGAAAACCCTTTTGCAATTATGTTAGCACAACTGAAAACTGTTGTGCTGATTAAAGAAGCAATAAAACTGTTGAGTATCTAGTTGAGTATCTGGAGCATCAGCAATTGTGGGTTCGATTACTGGCTCAAAATGGCCAGAAACAAAGAACTTTCTTCTGAAACTCGTCAGTCTATTCTTGTTCTGAGAAATGAAGGCTATTTCATGCGAGAAATTGCCAAGAAACTGAAGATCTCATACAACGCTGTGTACTACTCCCTTCACAGAACAGCGCAAACTGGCTCTAACCAGAATAGAAAGAGGAGTGGGAGGCCCCGGTGCACAACTGAGCAAGAGGACAAATACATTAGTGTCTAGTTTGAGAAACAGACGCCTCACAGGTCCTCAACTGGCAGCTTCATTAAATAGTACCCGAAAACACCAGTCTCAACGTCAACAGTGAAGAGGCGACTCCGGGATGTTGACCTTCTAGGCAGAGTTGCAATAAAAAAGCCATATCTCAGAATGGCCAATAAAAATAAAAGATTAAGATGGGCAAAAGAACACAGACACTGGACAGAGGAAGATTGTAAAAAAGTGTTATGGACAGGTGAATCAAAGTTTGAGATGTTCAGATCACAAAGAAGAACATTTGTGAGATACAGACCAAATGAAAAGATGCTGGAGGAGTGCTTGATGCCATCTGTCAAGCATGGTGGAGGCAATGTGATGGTCTGGGGGTGCTTTGGTGGTGGTAAAGTGGGAGATTTGTACAGGGTAAAAGGATTCTTGAAGAAGGAAGGCTATCACTCCATTTTGCAACGCCATGCCATACCCTGTGGACGGCACTTGATTGGAGCCAATTTCCTCCTACAAAAGGACAATGACCCAAAGCACAGCTCCAAACTATGCAAGAACTTTTAGGGAAGAAGCAGTCAGCTGGTATTCTGTCTATAATGGAGTGGCCAGAACAGTCACCGGATCTCAACCCTATTGAGCTGTTGTGGGAGCAGCTTGACCGTATGGTACGTAAGAAGTGCCCATCGAGCCAATCCAACTTGAGGGAGGTTCTTCAGGAAGCATGGGGTGAAATCTCTTCAGATTACCTCAACAAATTGACAACTAGAATGCCAAAGGTCTGCAAGGCTGTAATTGCTGCAAATGGAGGATTCTTTGACGAAAGCAAAGTTTGAAGGACACAATTATTATTTCAATTAAAAATCATTATTTCTAACCTTGTCAATGACTACATTTCCTATTCATTTTGCTATATTTCTTATTCAAACTCATTTCATGTATGTTTTCATGGAAAACAAGGACATTTCTAAGTGCCCCAAACTTTTGAATGGTAGTGTATATACAGTATCAGTCAAAAGTTTGGACACACCTACTCATTCCAGGGTTTGTCTTTATTTTTACTATTTTCTACATTGTAGAATAATAGTGAAGACATCAAAACTATGAAATAACACATATGGAATCATGTAGTAACCAAAAAAGTGTTAAACAAATCAAAATATATTTTATATTTGAGATTATTCAAATAGCCACCCTTTGCCTTGATGACAACTTTGCACACTCTTTGCATTCTCTCGCCCAGGTTCACCTGGAATGCTTTTCCAACAGTCTTGAAGGAGTTCCCACATATGCTGAGCACTTGTTGGCTGCTTTTCCTTCACTCTGCCGTCTGACTCATCCCAAACCATCTCAATTGGGTTGAGGTCGGGGGATTTACAATAGCTTATACAGCCTGGAGGTGTGTTGGGTCATTGTCCTGTTGAAAAACAAATGATAGTCCCACTAAGCCCAAACCAGATGGGATGGCGTATCGCTGCAGAAGGCTGTGGTAGCCATGCTGGTTAAGTGTGCCTTGAATTCTAAATAAATCACAGACAGTGGTCCTCTGTAGCTCAGCTGGTAGAGCACGGCGCTTGTAACGCTAAGGTAGTGGGTTCGATCCCCGGGACCACCCATACACAAAAAAATAAAAAATGTATGCACGCATGACTAAGTCGCTTTGGATAAAAGCGTCTGCTAAATGGCATATTATTATTATATTATAAAGCACCCCCACACCATAACACCTCCTACCCCATGCTTTACGGTGGGAACTACACATGCGGAGATCATCCGTTCACCCACAAAGACACGGCGGTTGGAACCAAAGGACACATTTCCACCGGTCTAATGTCCATTGCTCGTGTTTCTTGGCCCAAGCAGGTCTCTTCTTATTATTGGTGTGCTTTAGTAGTGTTTATTTGCAGCAATTCGACCATGAAGGCCTGATTCACACAGTCCCCTCTGAACGGTTGATGTTGAGATGTGTCTGTGACTTGAACTCTGTGAAGCATTTATTTGGGCTGCAATTTCTGAGGCTGGTAACTCTAATGAACTTATCCTCTGCAGCAGAGGTAACTCTGGGTCTTCCATTCCTGTGGCGGTCCTCATGAGAGCCAGTTTCATCATAGCGCTTGATGCACTTGAAGAAACGTTCAACTTCTTGAAATGTTCCATATTGACTGACCTTCATGTCTTAAAGTAATGATGGACTGTCGTTTCTCTTTGCTTATTTGAGCTGTTCTTGCCATAATATGGACTTGGTCTTTTACCAAATAGGGCTATCTTCTGTATACCCCCCCTACCTTGTCACAACACAACTGATTGGCTCAAACGCATTAAGAAGGAAAGAAATTCCACAAATTAACTTTTAAGAAGGCACACCTGTTAATTGAAATGCATTCCAGGTGATTACCTCATGAAGCTGGTTGAGAGAATGCCAAGAGTGTGCAAAGCTGTCATTAAGGCAAAGGGTGGCTATTTGAAGAATCTGAAATATAAAATATATTTTGATTTGTTTAACACTTTTGTGGTGACTACATGATTCCATATGTGTTATTTCATAGTTCTGATGTCTTCACTATTATTCTACAATGTAGAATATAGTAAAAATAAAGAAAAACCCTGGAATGAGTAGGTGTGTCCAAACTTTTGACTGGTCATATATATATATATATATATATATATATATATATATATATATATATATATATATATATATATATATATATATATATATATATATATATATATATATATATACACATAGATACATATATATATATATATATATATATATATATATATATATATATATATATATATATATATATATATTTGTGTGTGTGTGTGTGTGTGTGTGTGTGTATGTATGTATGTATGTAAGTATGTATGTATGTTAATACTGTATATATTTACAAAAAAATATATGGGGGATTGGAAATGATGCAGACAATTATATTGATGGAAGCTACAATCAATCTGCAATATTAAAGCGGATCTACCACCAAAAATAAAAACATAAAATAAAAAAACGTACATACACAGGAAGGATTTAAATAACAGTAATGATACACATAACAAAATGTGGTTTTTCCATTTGTGATTTAAAATAACGGCAAGGTTATTCTATACAACAAGCACCATTAAAATTCCAAACCTAAATGGAAGTGTCAGGTTTGAACTTCCTCTAGATCTAAGCAGCAGCAACCAGGCATAAAGTGAGAGAGAGGGACGGAAGTAATGGGGGAACTGGAGTATTCATCATCATACTACACAGAGCAGGCCTCTCTCTCTACTGTAGCCTTCCTTCCATACACGCAAACAGAAATGCAGATGGCTTTTAAAGTCAGCTGGGCCACTCAAATAAGTGTATCATTAAAACGACATACCGCGGAGCAATGAAATTTGGTACACGTTCAAATGGGTCCACGGGGAGACAGTTCCCATGTACACAGATAGCATTTCAAGGGAAGGCCATTATCAGAGGAAACCAGCCGATATGACCGTTTCCCAGGCAGCATTGCAGAGCCATGATAAACACTGAACCAAGCCTTAATTAAGCAGTGAAGCACTGTCCCTGTGTGCTATCACTACTGTCCATGACTAACATTAGTAGGCTCCCAAAGGGAAAGGGGATACCTAGTCAGTTGCTCAACTGAATGCATTTAACCCAACCTCTGAATCAGAGAGGTGCGAGGGGCTGCCTTAATCAATGTCCAGGGGATCAGTTGTTGTTGGGGGTTAATTGCCTTGCTCAAGGGCAGAACGGCAGATTTTTCGACCTTGCCAGCTCGGGGATTCAAACCAGCGACCTTTCGGTTACTGGCCCAACGCTCTTAACCGCTAGGCTACCTGCCTAGGTCCCCTTCTATACGTGTACCAAGTTTCACTGGTGCAAGGCGGAGAAAAGCTATCGTCAGAACAGTGGCTAGAGTCGACCCAGTAACTTTACTAGAGGCCCTGTATATACTGGCAGTCACAATTATGGGGACAGCTGGAAACCTCGCTGCCAGGCGCCAGAGGAAAGGCAGGGAAGGTGTACATCAGACCCATACATTAGCTTATATAAGAATACTTATAATCCACAGAAAATATCATCATGGGTCAAAAGAGTTTTGCCAATCTTTTCTGCTGCTTTCTCTGCTGTACTGTGGAAGCTTACTTTATGGAGTGCAGAAAGAGAAATCCCCATCAGGTGGCTTACGTTTTATTAGACGACTGCCGACCAGGTAAGGACACAGAGAAATCGGCTTTCTTCTGCATCTTCTCCTGCGTCTCAGCAAACTTTTCACTCGCTGCATTCTTTTTGGATTTCTTGTCATCTGCTTCCCTAAAAAAATGAAATAAAATAAGAGGCAGACATCATTACCCATTTTTCTATTTTTAAATAGTTATTTATCATAACATATCATCATCTAAGGCATTGAGGGAGAGAAGAGGGATGCAGGGATTTTAGGCTTTTTTAGCCGTTTTAGACACTTTTATCTGGAGCCAGTTGCCTCTTAGAAATGGGGACACTTATCACAAGGTGCAGCTGCAAATACTCAAACCCCTGCTAGATTTATTTATCAATCAAAGAACATATGTGATAGATCATTTCTGTGAATTTATCCTCCCGCGCCCACGTTTTCTGTCTGTAATTGAGCAGAGGGGTTCCACACAGTGAACACATCCATTAACTGGGATCGTCCATATAATCAGGAATCTTTGTGCTTGCCCTAAAATTTATAAGCCATATAAAACCATCTCTTTATAATGTGTGACTGCTGGCATGTGGAGAAGACACACTAAGACACATGCAGCCAGCGGAGTGCGCGACTCCAGCATCACCCCCTTCTTACTTAAAAGCTCATCTATTGGAGCAGAAAGTTCCCGCCACGCATATTACGTGCTTTGCAATATTTCAAGGACATTGTATATAAGAGTGGAATTATCACATACTCGTAGGGAGATGCGAGACCGAGGTTCTTCCATTTTAAAGATGGTTCTAATTTCTTTTTCCCGCCTGGCTTGTTTTGCACAAGCTGTTGTCTCGCCTTCTCATGCACATTCTTTTCCTGATGCTCGTAAGACCTCTGGGGTTGGCCTTGTTCCTCTGCATCAACCAATTCCACATGTTGGATCTTTTGTGTTGGAGGTTCTTTTTGAACGGCAAAATCCTGTTGAGGGGAAAAAAGACATGAGGAAAAAGGACCTCTCTCAATTTGCACCAAAATGCTAGCAGTGAAATATACAATAAATGTTGGTCATAAAATTCTATGGACTTGGGTCGTTAAAAAAGTTCTTCCTCTGAATGATTGTTCTTTTAACAAAGTCTTCGGTCCTTTTGATTCTTTCAAGTTATAAAGTATATTTTCCATTCTACATCTGATATAATGCCTCTTTATTCAGTTATTTGAGAGACATCACACACTGGTGTCTGAAAGGGTGTCGTTTAGTTCTTCTCAGCCCAAGAAGAACCATATAAAAACTAATCAGGGTTTTAAGTCTGTATCAGCGACTGTTCATATTAAAACAGAACTTTCTCAACATTCCCGCAGCAGAATAACAATTCAGCCTTTATTATTGAGCGAAGGGAATAAAATAACACATTCCCAGTGCTTTACAACACAGAAGAGGTCCCCTTTTATTAATTGGCTGAACAATATCAAAAGTTTATTGTTTCTTTACATTCCTCAAGCTAAAACCTTGCAGTTTGGCATGGAGAAAGTAGAGCCTTTGTGTCACTGTTATTCAAAGATGATTTTTTAAGTTTTTGAAGGTCCTTTTACCCAACTTTACAACCTAACATAAGAATGCCAACAAGACACACATGAATGGATTGCAGACAGGGAAAGTTTTATAATCACAGACACCTGCTAGGCAGAAAATAGTTACGCCTCAGACTGCCATTGCTCTCAATGAGCTCATTTTTTATTTGTGATTTTCAGAAGTAAAAGGAAAAATAATTAACATGGAATACTATGGCTGTGTTCGTATGTTCGGGCCAAGCACGCTCGGTCACTTTTCAAAGACTTGTTTGTCATAGAACCCAGAGTGACCTGCAGCTACTGCAGGCCAATTCAGTCCACCGTGGCTGCATTTCAGGTGTCCAACCTTACCTCTTTTTATGATACCTGAAATGGACAAACTCCATATGCTAAGACAGAAGGAAACATTCCAAAGTCTATGGCACACTACAGCAGTGCACACAGCACAGGGACGGCTCTGTCAGAGCAGTCAGAGGGCCAACAAACAAGTGCACAGACACTTTAAGCAGGTCAGACGCCTGCCTGCCTACAACTCTCCTCACACTTCTCAGTCGGACTCGGCAACATTTTTGTATTTTTTATACTACAGCTGACTTCCAAATCATTAGAACAATTATTCTTTCTCCACTCGTGCTTTGTTCCAAGCCCTCACTGAGAAACCTGAAACTCCAAATATTTACACATGTTATGGACTTCTATCTATAATGACTTGCTCCACACAGTGATGGAAAATCAGAAGAGGTGCAACAAATGTGCAGCTGTCAGTGGAGGAGCTCTACGAGACTCCTTGTGGAGAGTGAACTTGATAGCAGGGATAGATTGATTTCAGGATTTTTGAATAACAATTCTGAGGGTGCTTTTTAAAATTTAATTTCTGTCCAATTTCTAATCACATTGTAATTTTCAGAACGAGTCAGTCCAACACTCAACCAAGGAATGGAGTAGCACTATGCAGTATGTTTCCCTGGTGCTGCACTCTTCTCCTCTGGCTGCCTCTTGCTTATTTGATTGATAATGTCTGATCTAATAAAACTGTGAAAAATAATCTGCTTCCTCGACGCTGGAAACGAGTAGATCATGTTCAGAGAAAGGTGTTGTTATATTTGGCTATCAACCTGCCAGGCTTCATGTTGACTTGGATCACAACCACTTTGGGCTCTTGGCGATACAATCAGAGAGCAGGTCCCGGCCGGAGCGGTTTCAGATATAATTATTTTGTCCTCAAGATTGAGTGCAATTACTTTATTACTGTATGTCTGAACAGGTTACAGTACTGCACTGCAGTGCGTGCTGCACCATATCAATTATATTGACAGTATTCTTTGTCCTCCAAACACGACGAGTTGAGCTTTTACCAAAAAGTTATATTTTGGTTTCATCTGACCATATGACATTCTCCCAATCCTCTTCTGGATCATCCAAATGCACTCTAGCAAACTTCAGACGGGCCTGGAAATGTACTGGCTTAAGCAGGGGGACACGTCTGGCACTGCAGGATTTGAGTCCCTGGCGGCGTAGTGTGTTATTGATGATAGGCTTTGTTACTTTGGTCCCAAGCTGCTTACCTATTGCAGATTCAGTCTTCCCAGCCTAGTGCAGGTCTACAATTTAGTTTCTGGTGTCCTTTGACAGCTCTTTGGTCTTGGCCATAGTGGAGTTTGGAGTGTGACTGTTTGAGGTTGTGGACAGGTGTCTTTTATACTGATAACAAGTTCAAACAGGTGCTATTAATACAGGTAACGAGTGGAGGACAGAGGAGCCTCTTAAAGAAGAAGTTACAGGTCTGTGAGAGCCAGAAATCTTGCTTGTTTGTAGGTGACCAAATACTTATTTTCCACCATAATTTGCAAATAAATGGTAAAAACTCAACTCGTCGTGTTTGGAGGACAAAGAATGCTGAGTTGCATCCAAAGAACACCATACCTACTGTGAAGCATGGGGGTGGAAACATCATGCTTTGGGGCTGTTTTTCTGCAAAGGGACCAGGACGACTGATCCGTGTAAAGGAAAGAATGAATGGGGCCATGTATCGTCAGATTTTGAGTGAAAACCTCCTTCCATCAGCAAGGGCATTGAAGATGAAACGTGGCTGGGTCTTTCAGCATGACAATGATCCCAAACACACCGCCCGGGCAACGAAGGAGTGGCTTCGTAAGAAGCATTTCAAGGTCCTGGAGTGGCATAGCCAGTCTCCAGATCTCAACCCCATAGAAAATCTTTGGAGGGAGTTGAAAGTCCGTTTTGCCCAGCGACAGCCCCAAAACATCACTGCTCTAGAGGAGATCTGCATGGAGGAATGGGCCAAAATACCAGCAACAGTGTGTGAAAACCTTGTGAAGACTTACAGAAAACGTTTGACCTGTGTCACTGCCAACAAAGGGTATATAACAAAGTATTGAGAAACTTTTGTTATTGACCAAATACTTATTTTCCACCATAATTTGCAAATAAATTCATTAAAAATCCTACAATGTGATTTTCTGGATTTTTTTTCCTCATTTTGTCTGTCATAGTTGACGTGTACCTATGATGAAAATTACAGGCCTCTCTCATCTTTTTAAGTGGGAGAACTTGCGCAATTGGTGGCTGACTAAATACTTTTTTTCCCCACTGTATAAGAGGTGTGCTTAAGTATTGCAGAGAGGAAATAGTTTGGTGGGGTGTAAAAAGGCCAGAAAGACATGGCCTGATTTGAGTGCAGAACACTCCCTTATATCACCTCACCATCACAATGCTATGTTTTGGACATAACTGTAGCAACTTCAAAGGGCAAAAGAAGTAGGCAGAGAAAACCTGACTTGATTTGTATCTCAGCTACCTCATTTACAGTAGTGTTTTACGGCCTACTGTCCAACATCCTCAGACCGACAGGTTCAGCCTCATGGCATCACTCCTCACAGACACAGGACTCATAAAACATTAAAGCCTGGATGGCCCTTTTACACAGCACAGCACAGCTGCCTGGCACTGCTCATTGGGATTTATACTGCTCACTTACCCTAACCTGTCTCTCTGTGCCAGTAAGTCACACTGACTGGCCAAGCACAATTCAATTGAAAGTAATGATGAGGCGGCTCTTTTTCATTGATAATATCGTTATTTAAAAATGGGGAGAACAATGGTTGTTATAGGCCACTGCAGTAACATAATGTAAATGTCTCCATAACGTCCATGGATGATCAAATCAAATCAAATTGTATGTCACATGCGCCGAATACAACAGGTGTAGACCTTACAGTGAAATGCTTACTTACAAGCCCATAACCAACAATGCCGTTTTAAGAAAGAATACCGAAAGAAAAATCACACAAAAAAATACAATATAAAATAATACGAAATAAAAGTAACAAATAATTAAAGAGCAGCAGTAAAAATAACAATAGCGAGGCTATATACAGGGGGTACCGGTACCGAGTCAATGTGCGGGGGCACCGGTTAGTCGAGGTAATTGAGGTAATGTGTACATGTAGGTAGAGTTATTAAAGTGACGGGGGGGGGGGCTGTTATGGCAGATTGTCCTTTGTCTTAAGCTATTGTCCAAAAAGCAAGCACTGACTTACCAGTTCCTGAAATTGTGGGGAAAAGACAAAATATATTCTTGTCTGCCCGGCTTTACATTTGCAAACTACAATATATTATTGTGATAACATCCCACTGGTTGAATTGTCAAGTTAAGTGAATTCAATGTGAAATCAACAAAACATTTCACCATGTCACTGGATTTAGGTTAAAAATTGGGTGAAAAAAAGACAATTCTCTTACGTTGATGACTTTTTTCAAATCCAATCAGTTTTCCACATTGATTCAATGTCCTCACATTGAAATGTTTTGTTGAAGTGACGTGGAAACAACGTTGATTCAACCAGTTTTTGCCCAGTGGGCTCATAATTTACTTTAAAGAGCAAGATTTGCAGAAAGGGGTAAAAGGAAATCAGTCTTAATTACATTTCCGTTTCAATAGCTCAAGGACAGAAGTATAGTGAATATCAGCAAGAGCAACACTGATCATAGTCTTTGCTAACAGAAATGAACGATTTAAAGTGGAAAAATACTATTATTCGTTTAGCTACACTACTTTGTTGTAACTACTCATAAGACAGTCCAAATAGACATGAGGAAACTAATAAATATTAGCAAAAACAAAAATTACTCAATATACTTGTTATATAAATTATATGAAACATTTAGTGTCATTTCCTAGAGACTAAATACCATGTACAAAGTTTATCCGTAAATATTTGGCTCCTTTAACTGTATAGCAAGCATGCCTGTAAATGATACAACATTTTCCAACAATCCATTATTGAGTCACTCGTGACAAAATATATAGCCAAATATTCAGATGATAAACACATTTTTCCCACCACAGCTTGAAGTCATTATTGGGGTGATTTGTTAATTCATCAAATCACTTAAGCAGGAAACAGCACTACTGAATGAATCACTGGCATTTCAGGGCAACACATGACTCTGTCTGTGTGAGTAACTGGACAGTTTTTTGCATTCTTTTCAACTGGGGTGATTTGGAAAGTAAGGTAGTGCTGCAACAGCTTCAGAGAGTTCTCACTGTGCACTGTGACGACCAGACAAGCACACCAGGGAGGACGAGTGCAGACACTGATTCACAATCCTAAACGCACTCTACATTTTACATTTACATTTTAGTCATTTAGCAGACGCTCTTATCCAGAGCGACTTACAGGAGCAATTAGGGTTAAGTGCCTTGCTCAAGGGCACATCGACAGATTGTTCACCTAGTCGGCTCTGGGATTAGAACCAGCGACCTTTCGGTTACTGGCACAACGCTCTTAACCACTAAGCTACCTGCCACCTCTACTATGCATTACATTATGTAATCTATGATCAGTCGAATGCATACGGCTTCATAGGGTTATCGACAGAGCAAATATTACTCAGAGAAAACAGCAACCTGCTTCACATGATAACCTACCTGTTTATTTATGTTCTCTGCAAAATGGGGAGACTTGCTTTTCAGAAGTGTTACCAGGTCTTTGTAGACATCACTTGTTCTGTCATAGGCATTTTCCTCACCCTCCTGCCTTATGCCCTGTGAAGACAAAGATGCATTTTGATGTATCAAATCAATACTACAGTATTACCATGAAACTATTCACTGTTACTGGCAGAGACCCCTATAGACTAACTATTGGCTCAGTTGGATATTTGTCAGAACAACTGAGGTTAGAGAGGGCCAAGGTATCAAAATGCAGCTTCACAGGCTAGAATTCAAAACCAGTCTGCACTACTAACCACTACACACATTATGTTAAACTCTGTAATCTTTTAGATTTCATTTTTGTAAATATACCATCAATGTCATACATGTTGGAACACGGGTTTCAGTGTCCTGAACTGAACCATTTCCAGGTGAGGAAACAGGGAGACAGGAAATGTCCTAACTTGGGCAGTCAGGCAGTGAAGGAGAGTGAAAGACGCTGAGGCATGTAAAATGTTTTCTAATGATTAATTGCACACACGTTAAGGTCAATGGGGTGGTTGTAAATGTTTAACAACACAGGGCAAACTTGGAATTCAACCATACAGTTAACATTACTTCAATACATAAATCGCTAAACTTTTCAGTGACACTTACCTAATGTTTTGGAAACTTGACGGACTATCATTAACAGAGACATTCTAGATCTTAAAAAAGTATATTAAGATTAATTTTAACTTGCCGTGCTTGTTCATAACAATTGGCAAACATACTGTGCTAAAATATCTTGATTATTAATTCATCGATGCCTAAAGCATTTATGACAAAACACATCCTGTAGACTAAAAATAATATCTAATGCGGAGTATGGACTACTGTTGTGTCAGGGCGTGTGTAGGTGTAGTGTAGGAAATCAGATGCAGGACGCAGACGGTAGGTTCCAAATGCTGTATTCCGGCCCAAACACAGGCAACAGGGCAACAAAGCCCAACAGCTAAACTACGCACAAGGCGTATAGGCAAAATGCGCACAAACAGGTGCGACAAAATGAAGTAGTGCACGAAACAAGTGCAATCGAGCTCCAGCGCAGTGGAGAGAATATGCTCAACCGAGCAAACACAACACTGACGAAAAACAATCATACACAACACATGACAAACACAACGAGAACCTTATAGGACACTAATCACGTAAAACAGAAACAGGTGTGACACAAACAGACAAAAGCAAACGAACATGAAACATCTATCGGTGGCAGCTAGAATTCCGGAGACGACGAGCGCCGAAGCCTGCCCGAACAAGGAGGAGAGGCAGCCTCGGCCGAAACCGTGACAGTACCCCCCCCTTGACGCGCGGCTCCAGACGCGCGCCGACTCCGGCCTCGGGGACGGCCAGGGGGACGCGGCGCAGGGCGCGTCGGATGCCTCCGATGGAACTCCGTCAGAAGCGATGGGTCCAACACGTCTCTCCTCGGCACCCAGCACCGCTCCTCCGGACCGTACCCCTCCCACTCCACTAGATACTGGAGACCCCCCATCCGACGTCTCGAATCCAAGATGGATCTCACGGAGTACGCCGGTGCCCCCTCGATGTCCAACGGGGGCGGAGGAGTCTCCAAGATCACATCGTCTTGGAGTGGGCCCGCTACCACCGGCCTGAGAAGGGACACATGGAACGAGGGGTTAATACACTTATACTCCACAGGTAGCTGTAATCTATAACAAACCTCGTTCAACCTCCTCAGGACTTTAAATGGCCCTACAAACCGCCGACCCAGTTTCCGACAGGGCAGGCGGAGGGGCAGGTTTCTGGTAGAGAGCCAGACTCGATCACCAGGTGCGTACACCGGTGCCTCACTGCGGTGGAGATCAGCGCTCGCCTTCTGACGTCGGAGGGCCCGCTGCAGGTGGACGTGTGCAGCGTTCCAAGTCTCCTCCGAGCGCCGCGCCCACTCATCCACCGCAGGAGCTTCGATCTGGCTCTGCTGCCAGGGTGCCAGAACCGGCTGGTAACCTAACACACATTGAAATGGGGTTAGGTTCGTGGAGGAATGGCGTAGGGAATTCTGGGCCATCTCGGCCCAGGGAACGTACCTTGACCACTCCTCCGGCCGGTCCTGGCAGTATGTTCTGAGAAACCTACCCACATCCTGGTTTACGCGTTCCACCTGCCCATTGCTCTCCGGGTGGTAGCCCGAGGTGAGACTCACCGAGACCCCCAACCGCTCCATAAACGCTCTCCAGACCCTGGAGGTGAATTGGGGACCCCGATCAGCCACAATGTCCTCGGGCACCCCGTAGTGCCGGAACACATGGGTAAACAGTGCCTCGGCGGTTTGCAGGGCCGTAGGAAGACCCGGCATGGGGAGCAAACGACAGGCCTTAGAGAACCGGTCCACAACGACCAGGATGGTGGTATTCCCTTGGGAGAGGGGAAGATCTGTTATAAAGTCCACTGAGAGGTGGGACCATGGCCGTTGTGGAACGGGCAGGGGTAGCAACTTACCCCTAGGTAAATGTCTAGGCGCCTTACACTGGGCGCACACCGAGCAAGAGGAAACATAAACCCTCACATCCCTAGCCAACGTGGGCCACCAGTACTTGGCACTAAGACAGTGCACTGTCCGGCCGATACCCGGATGTCCAGAGGAGGGTGACGTGTGAGCCCAATAAATCAATCGATCCCGAACCTCGAGCGGAACGTACTTCCGACCCTCCGGGCACTGTGATGGACTAGGGTCGGTGCGTAACGCCCGCTCGAGTTCAGCATCGATCTCCCACACTACCGGCGCCACCAGACACGACGCAGGCAGTATGGGAGTGGGCTCCACGGACCTCTCCTCCGCGTCATACCGCCGAGACAGCGCATCTGCCTTGCCATTCTGTGACCCAGGGATGTACGTGATCTTAAACGTAAACCTGGTCAAGAACATACTCCATCTTGCCTGGCGAGGGTTCAGCCTCCTCGCCGCTCGGATGTACTCCATGTTACGGTGGTCCGTCAAAATGAGGAAAGGGTGTTGAGCCCCCTCAAGCCAGTGCCTCCACATCTTTAGAGCCTGTACCACGGCTAACAGCTCCCTGTCCCCTACGTCATAGTTCCGCTCCGCCGGACTGAGCTTCTTAGAGTAAAAAGCACAGGGGCGGAGTTTAGGTGGCGCGCCAGATCGTTGTGAAAGCACGGCTCCTAACCCGGCCTCCGACGCGTCCACCTCTACTTGGAACGGCAAAGAGGGATCCGGGTGCGCCAGCACTGGGGCCGAGGTAAACAGGTCCTTCAGCCTCCCAAACGCCCTGTCCGCCTCGGCCGACCACTGCAGACGCACCGGACCCCCCTTCAACAGAGACGTGATGGGAGCTGCCACCTGTCCAAACCCCCGGATAAACCTCCTGTAGTAATTTGCAAACCCCAAGAACTGCTGCACCTCCTTCACAGTGGTTGGTGTTTGCCAATTACGCACGGCCGACACTCGATCTACCTCCATCCTCACCCCTGACGCAGACAACTGATAACCCAAAAAGGAGACCGACTCCTGGAAAAACAGACACTTCTCTGCCTTCACATACAGGTCGTGCTCCACCAGCCTCCGCAACACCTTGCGCACCAGGGCTACATGCTCGACACGGGTAGGTGAGTACACGAGAATGTCATCAATGTACACCACCACCCCCTGCCCCTGCATGTCCCTGAAGATCTCATCCACAAATGATTGGAAAACTGATGGAGCGTTCATCAACCCGTATGGCATGACCAGATACTCGTAATGGCCCGAGGTGGTACTAAAGGCTGTTTTCCATTCATCGTTCTCCCTGATGCGCACCAAGTTGTACGCGCTCCTGAGATCTAGTTTCGTGAAGAAACGTGCCCCATGCAACGACTCAGTCATGGTCGCAATCAGCGGGAGTGGATAACTATACTTCACCGTAATCTGATTGAGACCACGGTAATCGATGCATGGGCGCAAACCACCATCCTTTTTCTTCACGAAAAAGAAACTCGAGGACGCGGGGGAAGTGGACGGCCGTATGTATCCTTGTCTCAGTGATTCGTCTATGTAAATCTCCATAGCTTTCTTCTCCTCCTGAGACAGAGGATACACATGGCTCCGTGGGAGCGCAGCTCCTGCCTGGAGGTTTATCGCACAATCCCCCTGCCTATGGGGTGGCAACTGCGTCGCCCTCGCCTTACTAAACGCAATAGCCAAATCCCCATTCTCAGGTGGAATGTGCAATGCGGGCACCTGGTTTGGACTCTCCACCGAGGTAGCCCCTACGGAAACGCCCAAACATCTACCCACACACTGAGCAGACCACTCCATCAGAGCCCTCTCCTGCCACGAAATCACTGGGTTATGGGTACTCAACCAGGGCATTCCCAGCACCACCGGATACGCAGGAGAGTCAATCAGGAACAGCTGAATCATCTCCTGATGACCCCCCTGCGCACACATCCTAAGTGGCGCCGTGACCTCCCTGATCAAGCCCGTACCCAACGGACGACTATCTAGGGCGTGAACGGGAAAAGGAACATCAACAGGAATGAGGGGAATCCCTAACGCTAAACAAAACTTTTTATCAATAAAATTCCCAGCTGCGCCTGAATCTACCAGCGCCTTATGCTGGGCATGAGGTGCTACCTGTGGAAAACGTACAGGCATACAAAAATGGGCAACAGAGAGCTCTGGGTGAGTGGGGCGCCTACTCACCTGGAGGGAATCCCCAGTGCGGGGCCTGTCGTCATCTCCCCTAGGAGGCCATCCCCAGCACCTAGCCGCGGTGTGTCCTCCCCGGCCACAGTTGGTGCAGTGGATGGACCCCCTAGCCTGCCGACTCCTCCTCTCTCTAGCGCCAGCGCCCCCGAGCTCCATGGGACAAGGCTCGGAGGCGCTGGAGGGTGGAATGGACGGACCCTCCGCAAGACGTCCGCGGGTAGCCAGCAGGGTATCCAGCCTGATGGACATATCCACCAGCTGGTCGAAGGTGAGACTGGTGTCCCTGCAAGCCAGTTCCCGACGGACGTCCTCTCGTAGGCTGCATCGGTATAGATCGATGAGGGCCCGATCATTCCACCCTGCATCTGCCGCCAGAGTACGGAATTCGAGTGCGAATTCCTGGGCACTTCTCCTCCCCTGTCGGAGGAAGACCAGACGCTCCCCCGCCGCTTTCCCCTCCGGGGGATGGTCGAACACCGCTCTGAAGCGGCGGGAGAACTCAGGGTACGTAATGGTCGTGGCGTCTATCTTCCTCCACTCCGCGTTGGCCCACTCCAACGCTTTTCCGGCCAGGCAGGAGATCAGAGCGGACACGCTCTCGTGCCCTGAAGGTGCCGGGTGCACGGTGGCCAGGTATAGCTCGACCTGGAGCAGGAATCCCTGACACCCAGCCGCTGTCCCGTCGTAAGCCCTCGGGAGAGATAGTCGGACTCCTCGAGGTTCCGGTGCTGGAACGGGCGGGCTGGCCGATGGTGCTGGCAGGGCGGGCGGTGGTGGAGGCGAACCCCAGCCTCGGAGTGTGGTAATCACCTCCTGCAGGGCGTTCCCCATCTGCAGGAGTTGCTCCTGCTGATCCCGAACCTGGGCTTCCAGTCTGGTCTGGGCTGCTTCGGCTCCTGCTGATTCCATGAGTGGTGTATGATTCTGTCAGGGCGTGTGTAGGTGTAGTGTAGGAAATCAGATGCAGGACGCAGACGGTAGGTTCCAAATGCTGTATTCCGGCCCAAACACAGGCAACAGGGCAACAAAGCCCAACAGCTAAACTACGCACAAGGCGTATAGGCAAAATGCGCACAAACAGGTGCGACAAAATGAAGTAGTGCACGAAACAAGTGCAATCGAGCTCCAGCGCAGTGGAGAGAATATGCTCAACCGAGCAAACACAACACTGACGAAAAACAATCATACACAACACATGACAAACACAACGAGAACCTTATAGGACACTAATCACGTAAAACAGAAACAGGTGTGACACAAACAGACAAAAGCAAACGAACATGAAACATCTATCGGTGGCAGCTAGAATTCCGGAGACGACGAGCGCCGAAGCCTGCCCGAACAAGGAGGAGAGGCAGCCTCGGCCGAAACCGTGACATGTTGACTGAAATTCAGTTTATGGAAACGAAAATATAAAATAGAGAGAGTTTCTTGTTGCAGGATTTCTATTTGACAGTTTTTTTGACATAATCCACAACTCATTTTGTTCTCAGTCTACTGGAAACTGGTGTTGATTCAGTGACACTAATCTATCTCTAGCTATCTTACCCCGTTGAGAAAGACTCCAGCTGTGCTGCAGGTGATGTGCAGGGGCTCAGTGTCACATGGCTGTATCACCAGGTAGCAGATCTCACCATGCACCTGCCTCCAAGGAGGAGTTCGACAGCCATTGGTGAACTCATAATCTGCAGAAAAATAAGAAAAGCATACCAGAGCATGTCAGTTCAGTGTACAATGTACGTTAAATCAATACGATTTCACCATACAGTAGTAATGTTTCTATAGGGAATTAGGCCACATTGTGATTCTTCCCTTAAGGTACAGTACGTATCGAGGATTAGAGGGAAAATAAAGTTCCAATAGGGGTTCAAAGAGTGCAGCATCACAGGAGGAGAAATCATCGCTGTTCCCTGAGCTGCCAGCGAGGATGACGGATCAACTCCACCTCAGAGAGAGCAGTACAGGACTGCATCCCAAATGGCACCCTATTCCATATTTAGTGCACTACTTTTGACGAGGGCCCATAGGGCTCAGGTCAAAATTAGTGCACTATACAGGGAACAGGGTGCCATTTGGCACGCACTACAGGTCTGAAGACAGCAGACCAGGTTATTTAGAGCTCGCTGTGATTTCACTCCCTGTTAATCATCCTCTGAAAACAGCTAGGCCGCAGAGCATCGTGACACACACACACACACACATTTTAATGTGCCCAGTATGACAGGTTGGAGACTATTTGCATAGAAGGTTTCAATTTTCCTCTGCGTAAGGGGACACATTTTTCAAAAGACTGCATTTATCACTGTGGTGTGTAGGGGGTGGTGCGTTTTCCACTGAACGGTTAATTGTTATGTCATTGCAAATGTGCCGCTCCGACTGAGGCAAGTGAAAATATTCATTGTCTCAGTAAATCTGACATGTATAATGACTTCCATGTTTTTCAGGGTTGAACACAGATATTTTGTATATCCCAGTATTACCCTCTAATAGCAAAAAAAAAAAAAAAAAAGATAAATGGGAAAGATAACTCAAACCTGATGTGTATTGAACAGACTTCAACACCCTTTTCTCCCCTTCACTGCAGAAGTTTTTCAACAGCTCGACATCATTCTTCACTGCGGCAGGACTGAGCCTAACCTCCCTGTACAAAAAAAAAACAACAAAAACAAATACAGACGATTCATCTTGGCCTCATTTGTGGTTCTTCTGTCTGGTAAGAAATGTTTTTTTAATCAGTCAAACCCATATGTTTGGACTTGTCTGAAGTGGGAGTGGGAGTCAGTGTGTGTATTAAGATATATAGATTTGTTATTGATAGATAGAGATTGCAGACAGAGTGAGCAGGAGGAAAGGCACCCACTGGGAGATCTGCTTGAGGGAGTTGCTGAGGAGCTGAGTGTCCAGCTGCTGCAGTAGGATGATCAGATTCACTTTGATCTCAGCCTCCTTGGCCTGGTCCCCCTCCTTTACCTTCCCCAGGAGACGCAGCACAGAGCTGTCCTCCCCCTCCACTGTGGCTAAGCTAGGCCCCAGCATCTTCGCCACAGGGTCTCTGTTGGCTACAAATTACAGTAAAAATACATTTTATTTTGTACCTTTATTTTGCCAGATTGTCCCATTGAGGTCAAATGATGTAGGCCTATTTTAAGAGAGTCCAGGCCTAGGGTCATATAGACATACAGTAGATTAATGTTTTATTTTCTCAAACTAACATAGCTATTAGCAAGTACCACATTATGGCTTTGGGGGGTACAGTAAATATGACTGAAGAATTGCAAACATAATCTGATGCCAGTTTCTAATTGGATGAAAGTAGACGATAACAAGGAAGACAAACAAATGATGCCTGTAGCTTATGGGAAGTATGCAGCCTTGACTATTTAGGATGCAAATGGGATTCAGATCTCATTCTGTGGTTGACATGGTTTACCTTCCAGGCAAGCTCGGACCTCATTGAGCCTCTTATCCTCTGCCAGCTGTACTATTTTGGAGAGCTGACTGAAGCTGTGCACAGAAATGCTCGGAGGGGTGAGCTGCAACATAGGACGCCCATCCTTGTCTGTTTCCTGCGACTTTACAGAGGGGCCACTGAAAAGTAGAGAAACACACGTACACTACCAGTCAAAAGTTTGGACACACCTACTCATTCAAGGGTTTTTCTTTATTTTGACTATTTGTTACATTGTAGAATAATAGCGAAGACATCAAAACTACGAAATAACACATTTGGAATCATGTATTGTATTAACCAAAAAAGTGTTAAACAAATCAAAATATATTTTATATTTCAGATTCTTCAAATAGCCACCCTTTGCCTTAATGACAGCTTTGCACACTCTTGGCATTCTCTCAACCAGCTTCATGAGGTAGTCACCTGGAATGCATTTCAATTAATAGGTGTGCCTTCTTAAAAGTTAATTTGTGGAATTGATTTCCTTCTTAATGCGCTTGAGCCAATCAGTTGTGTTGTAACAAGGTGGGGGGGGGGGTATACAGAAGATAGCCCTTTTTGGTAAAAGACCAAGTCCATATTATGGCAAGAACAGCTCAAATAAGCAGTCCATCAATACTTTAAGACATGAAGGTCAGTCAATACGGAACATTCCAAGAACTTTGAAAGTTTCTTCAAGCGCAGTCGCAAAAAACATCAAGCGCTATGATGAAACTGGCTCTCATGAGGACCGCCACAGGAATGGAAGACCCAGAGTTGCCTCTGCTGCAGAAGATAAGTTCATTAGAGTTACCAGCCTCAGAAATTGCAGCCCAAATAAATGCTTCACAGAGTTCAAGTCACAGACACATCTCAACATCAACTTTTCAGAGGGGACTGTGTGAATTAGGCCTTCATGGTCGAATTGCTGCAAAGAAACCACTACTAAAGAACACCAATAAGAAGAAGAGACCTGCTTGGGCCAAGGAATACAAGCAATGGACATTAGACCGGTGGAAATTTGTCCTTTGGTCTGGAGTCCAAATTGGAGAATTTTGGTTCCAACCGCCGTGTCTTTGTGAGACGCGGTGTGGGTGAAAAGATGAGCTCTGCATGTGTAGTTCCCAACGTAAAGCATGGAGGAGGAGGTGTTATGGTGTGGGGGTGCTTTGCTGGTGACACTGTCTGTGATTTACTTAGAATTCAAGGCACACTTAACCAGCATGGCTACCACAGCATTCTGCAGCGATACGCCATCCCATCTGGTTTGGGCTTAGTGGGACTATCATTTGTTTTCAACAGGACAATGACCCAACACACCTCCAGGCTGTGTAAGGGCTATTTGACCAAGAAGGAGAGTGATGGAGTGCTGCATCAGATGACCTGGCCTCCACAATCACCCGACCAAAACCCAATTGGGATGGTTTGGGATGAGTCGGACCGCAGAGTGAAGGAAAAGCAGCCAACAAGTGCTCAGCATATGTGGGAACTCCTTCAAGACTGTTGGAAAAGCTTTCCAGGTGAAGCTGGTTGAGAGAATGCAAAGAGTGTGCAAAGATGTCATCAAGGCAAAGGGTGGCTTTTTGAATAATCTCAAATATAAAATATATTTTGATTTGTTTAACACCTTTTTGGTTACTACATGATTCCATATGTGTTATTTCATAGTTTTGATGTCTTCACTATTATTCTAAAATGTAGAAAATAGTAAAAATAAAGAAAAAACCCTTGAATGAGTAGGTGTGTCCAAACTTTTGACTGATACTGTATTTTTAAGCATAAACTGGCAACAAGCACACCGTTTTCCTTCTCTATCTAGGCCTAGCTACTTTTTCCATTCTGTGTCTATGCTAATGTCATTAATATGCTTTTTGGAAGGAAAAGGGAATGTTCTCAGCGTTAAGAAATGCGCACTTTTGTTATCAGTGAAATCTACAGTAAATGCACTTGTGTGGTTTCCTTTACAGAAAAAGCACATTCATTTCACATGTGATAACATGTGTTCCACATGTCATCACGTGATCTCATGTGATTGCATGTGATCACATGTGATCTTAGATTAAGTTAATGTGATAACATGTGACAACATGTAAAAGAAACATGCACAGAAAATTGGCCAGTTTTACCTAGTGTTGATTTTTCAGTGTAACATTTCTAGTGTTGACTCAGGTGTTAACTCTGTAAGTGTTAAATTAATACTCATTGGTGTAAAAGAACCACTGTGTTAGTGGTAATAAGAAGTGTTAAACAAAAACCAGAGTTTTATAATTATTTGTTTCAATTTATATATTTTTGCATGTACATTGATTGATTAATTAATATTATGCTACTCAAATAGAAATAACATACATTTTTCTAAACTAATCCAATCAGTTACTTGGACTTATTGCATCCATTACTGAAATGGTTGTTCCAGTTTCGATGTTTAAGGTAGTCTCATAGATAAAAAATAAAAATAAATAATATTGAGTGTTATAATGTGTTCAGAGCTGACAGACAGGGTGGAGTGGCGATTTTTATAAAAAATATGTTCTGCCTCTTTACTGAAATCCATGTCTCTTGCCAAAAGAAAAGACCATAATAATGAGCTACTATCTTTAAGCCTTTGTCTGGGGAAAAATGTATCCATAACTAAGGCTGACCTTTGTGCACTCGAGATGTTAACTAGTTTGTTGTCTTCTTTTACTAAATCAGAAGTTATTATCCTTGGTAACGTAAATTATGATTGGGAAATGCAGGCTTTGGACAATCTGAAAGACATGTGTAATGATCTAAACCTAACCCAGCTGGTGACTAAGCCTACACGGCACAACCCTAAAGATCCTTCAAAGTCAACTCTGATTGATCATAATTTAATGAATACACCAGAGAAATATGTTTCTATTGGTGTCTTTGCCCTAAGATATTAGTGACCATTGCCCAGTTTGTGTTAGAGATGTGAAAATACTCAAATCTAAGCCTTGTGTCATCACAATGAGGAAATTTAAAAACTTCAGTGAACAGGTTTTTTTATTTTTTTATTTACATGATCTTTATTTTAGTGACCTTGATTGTATTTCAGCTATCCCTGAACCTGATTTAGTGTTGAGCCTTTTTTCAGATGTCTTCAATAACATTGTGGATAATCATGCTCCCTTAAAGAAATTAAGGCTTAAAGGTAGATCGAATGCCTGGTACACTCCAGAATTATCAGAAGTAATTCATAAAATAAATGATGTTTGGGTCAAGGCCAGGAACACAGGCTTAGGCCCGGACTGGCAAGCTTTTAAGCAACTGAGGAATCATTGTGTAAGACAAATCAGAAGGGCTAAATCTGATTATTATGTAACCCCTCAGATTGTAATAGGAACCCAGCTAAATTCTGGAAAACTGTCAAATCCCTAAAAGGTTCTACTTCCTCCTCTCTTGCCACAACAAATTAATTCAGACACTGGCCTCATTATGGAAAAAAATGCCATCACTGATGCATTTAATCCCCAGTTTATTTCAGCGGGTTATCTCTTTGAAAGAACTTCTAAGCCATTTCACAATGATATTCGGCTGGATACTGATAAGGGGAACCTGCTGAATGATCAGAGAAATGATAGTCAAATATTATATTTTAAGCTACTAACAGAAAAATAAGTCCTGGATGCTTTGCAAGCAATAAACAACAATAAATCCACAGGGGCTTAAGTGTGCAGCGCCCATCATTAATAACCCACACTTTTTATTTAAAATTGTTATCAGGAAATATTCCAAAAGTATGGAAATCAGCTCTTGAGCTGCCACTCCATAAGGGCAGGGATAGTAGTGATACCTTGTCTAGCTAAGATTTTTGAATCCTTAGTAAATGTACAACTTTATGTATTTTGAATGTAAACCAATCAGGGTTTAGGCCTGGGCATAGCACTATTACAGCAACCACTTTAGTTGTTAATGATCTTGTTAATGCTTTAGACACTAAAATGAAATGTGCTGCTTTGTTTGTGGACCTGTCAAAAACTTTTGATACTGTTGACATTTTATTGAATAAGTTGTCCTCGATAGGCCTGAGATATGACGCCTGTTCATGGTTTAATGATTATCTTAGTGACAGAACTCAGGCCATCGTGATTGATGGGGTTAAGTCTGCATTTCTTGATATACATAAAGGTGTACCACAGGGGTCGATTTTGGGACCTGCTCTCTTCACTATTTATATAAACACCATTAATCAATCTGTTTAAAATTGTAAACTTCATCTACAGCGCTGTGAAAAAGTATTTGCCCCCTTTCTGATTTTGCATATTTTTTTATACTGAGTGATCTTCAACCAAAACCTAATATTAGATAAAGGGAACCTGAGTTTACAAATAACAAAATAAATTGATACCTGTTTTCGCTTTGTCATTATGGGGTATTGTGTGTAGCTTGATGAGGAAAAATATTAATTTAATCCATTTTAGAATAAGACTAACGTAACAAAATGTGGAAAAAGTCAAGGGGTCTGAATACTTTCCGAATGCATTGTATGTTGATGCATTTGAAAAAGAGACTTAAGTCTCAATATGTCTTCCCTGTTAAAATAAAGCTTAAATCAGAAATATATTCCTTACCGGTCAAAAGTTTTAGAACACCTACTAATTCAAGGGTTTTTATTTTATTTTTTACTATTTTCTACATTGTAGAATAATAGTGAAGACATCAAAACTATGAAATAACACATATGGAATCATGTAGTAACCTAAAAAGTGCTAAACAAATCAAAATATATTTTATATTTGAGATTCTTCAAATAGCCACCCTTTGCCTTGATGACAGCTTTGCACACTCATTCTCTCAACCTGGAATGCTTTTCCAACAGTCTTGAAGGAGTTCCCACATATGCTGAGCACTTGTTGGCTGCTTTTCCTTGTTGGCTGCTTTTCCTTTCCAGATATGGCCTGTAAACTATGAGTTTCAGGCTGCTGTATTAGGGTAAATCTAGGCCCTCAAAATAAGGCCTTATGAAATATGTGTTGTATTGTCTTAAACAATTTAATTTTAATGATAACATATTTGCTTAGGATCTCACTTGGTTAAGGCCACAAGACTGAAAATGGATGAATGCAACAACCATGTCTCTGTCACTAATAAATAACCTACAGTCATTGGTGGAAATTCACTCAAAAGGCACTCTGGGAAATGTGGAAATAACGCTTTACAAGACGCAGTGTGTTAATTTAACACTGAAAAGTGTGGATCCATATAGACGCTGGACCAGTGTTCAATTTAACACTCAGTGTTGATTTAACACTGGAAAATGTGCTGTGTGTGATAACAAGAAACTACACATGTGAAAACATGATCGCATGTGAAATAAATGTGACAACATTGGGATGCAAAATTTGAACAAAATGCAATTCCACATGTGAGCGTTTTTTACGACAGTGAAAATTTGATTTTCAAGTGAACGGTTTTGTCCACATGAAACTGCAAATTTCACGTGAACCTGCAATTCACATGTGAGGTGAAAACATGGTATTCTCCTCATGTGAAAAGGTGGTGTTAACATGTGAACTCAAAATGTTATACATGTGAACATCTGGTTTCACATGTGAACAACTGACCTGTCGTCTTCTTTTTTCTTTCTTTTTTTTTTACATGTGAAAATTTCAGCTCAAATGCGATTTTCACATACATTTTTTCTTGAGTTTATTTTTAAGCAGAGATTTACTTTACTTAAGTCTGAAGTGTAGGAATACAGGTGAAATCAGTCACTGACACAGGCATGGTGGCAGGAAGATCGGAATGCAGTGAACCAAGAGGTTGTGAGTTTAAATCCCAGGTGAGAACATGTTGAATAACAATTACTGTATAAATAAACATACACAATTGAATAATGTATGTCAAAGTGTTTCAAATACAGTGGGGGAAAAAAGTATTTAGTCAGCCACCAATTGTGCAAGTTCTCCCACTTAAAAAGATGAGAGAGGCCTGTAATTTTCATCATAGGTACACGTCAACTATGACAGACAAACTGAGAAAAAAATACCCAGAAAATCACATTGTAGGATTTTTTATGAATTTATTTGCAAATTATGGTGGAAAATAAGTATTTGGTCACCTACAAACAAGCAAGATTTCTGGCTCTCACAGACCTGTAACTTCTTCTTTAAGAGGCTCCTCTGTCCTCCACTCGTTACCTGTATTAATGGCACCTGTTTGAACTTGTTATCAGTATAAAATACACCTGTCCACAACCTCAAACAGTCACACTCCAAACTCCACTATGGCCAAGACCAAAGAGCTGTCAAAGGACACCAGAAACAAAATTGTAGACCTGAACCAAGCTGGGAAGACTGAATCTGCAATAGGTAAGCAGCTTGGTTTGAAGAAATCAACTGTGGAAGCAATTATTAGGAAATGGAAGACATACAAGACCACTGATAATCTCCCTCGATCTGGGGCTCCACGCAAGATCTCACCCCGTGGGGTAAAAATGATCACAAGAACGGTGAGCAAAAATCCCAGAACCACACGGGGGGACCTAGTGAATTACCTGCAGAGAGCTGGGACCAAAGTAACAAAGCCTACCATTAGTAACACACTACGCCGAAGCATTTCAAGGTCCTGGAGTGGCCTAGCCAGTCTCCAGATCTCAACCCCATAGAAAATCTTTGGAGGGAGTTGAAAGTCCGTGTTGCCCAGCGACAGCCCCAAAACATCACTGCTCTAGAGGAGATCTGCATGGAGGAATGGGCCAAAATACCAGCAACAGTGTGTGAAAACCTTGTGAAGACTTACAGAAAACGTTTGACCTGTGTCATTGCCAACAAAGGGTATATAACAAAGTATTGAGAAACTTTTGTTATTGACCAAATACTTATTTTCCACCATAATTTGCAAATAAATTCATTAAAAATCCTACAATGTGATTTTCTGGATTTTTTTTCCTCATTTTGTCTGTCATAGTTGACGTGTACCTATGATGAAAATTACAGGCCTCTCTCATCTTTTTAAGTGGGAGAACTTGCACAATTGGTGGCTGACTAAATACTTTTTTCCCCCACTGTATGTAAGTTGAAAACACTATGTTAAAAGTACTGTTTGTGTGTGTATCCTAACGACTAATTTTTGTTTGCAGGGCATCACCTGTGAAATCCCGTGAAAAAAAGATGAATCCGCATTTGGAAGGTTATATCGTCACGTGAAAACCCACATGTGAAACTTCATGTGAAATATCATCACATGTGAAGTGTTCCAAAAACACATTGTTTCACATGATTTCACATGTGGAATTTCAGATGTGAAATCATGGGGTTTTTCGCCAAGGGTTACCATTTCCCAACTGTAGAATAACAACTAATCACATGCAGACAGCCAGGGAAAAAATAACAGACTTTCTGATGAAGTAGTCTAGATGTTTCCTGTCCTACTGAAGTTGAACAGAAAACAAATAAATTCAAGAACATAAATATGAGTCCTGCTGTAGGGCTCAAAATACGTTTAGACTCCATGACAACATCCCCAGTCAGTAACATTACACCAAGCACACAGCACAGCGTGCCTCGTGATTACCTTATGTCATACTCTGTTTTGAAATCAGAAGCCTCCAAAGAGGTAGTCCACTGGAGCGGCTCCTTGAACACATGCTTAGCCTCCTGAGGGTGTCTGGAGCTGAACTGTTCCACAAACTCCAGGATCTCTTTCAGCAGAGACTCGTTGACTGGGGTGATCTCCAGTTTTCCAGTCCCAGAACTTGCTGTGGTCCATTGCGCTGCTCTGGTCAGTGCTACCCCCATGGTAGCAGTTGTGTGGGACTGGCAACGTACTGAAACTGTTTGGTGGATTAATTGGTGACAATTACACTTTTGGCAACAAATGTCAACAAATTATTAAATCGCTAGCTACAGTTATAGTAGACTGGCAGATAAGACGGTATCGACATAGCTAGCTAACTATGTTTACAGACGGTTATTGACTAACGTTAGTTAGCCAGCTGACCCCCCGTTGCTAACATTCCATCACATCCCAAACTTTTGAACAGTATTGAAGCTTTCATACACACAAACGAACCATTTGCAAATGTTTTAGCTAAGTGTACAGTAAACATGTATATTTTATACATGAAAACTTACCAGCTATTTGAAGTTGTCTTCTATTTTGTTCGAGGACCACGAGCTAGCTACCAGCTAGCTATCAAGGTTAGCAGTTAGTCGGTTTCCTTGGAAACAGTCACAAGCCCCACTGCCTCCGGTTGCTAGGATATCGCTCAACAACGTAGCGGGAGATGTGTCAAAAATAGCATTAGTCAGAAACGCAAAACCCTATTCCTTCCTGCCTGCAGCCTGCTGGTGTGATATTTGCTTAAGCACAGTGTGAGTATGCCTTCATAAGAATAGTTAATTTTCTAAAGTAGAGTGTCCACAGAACCACACATTTGAGAGCTTCTTTAGGAACATCCTCCAGGATTGCTGTATGGTTGGCCAATGCAGTGTTTTGCAGACAAACATTCTGGGCAAACTGAAAACAGTATATTTGAAGTAGATTTTTACCCATTTTCGCTCTGCAAATAAAGTAATTCAGACTTCATTCATTCAGTCATTGAGAGCACCATCCTCTTACTGTTCATTTTCAAGACAAAAGCCACCTCACCTGGCTGTAATTTCATAAGTTGATTATGGAAAGGATTTCATTATTTCAGGTTGGCATAAAAAAATAATTAAAAAACATCCAGGAGAGTGAAATATAGGCATTGGTATGTTTTGAGACTGGTAGGCTACCCAAAAATCAAGCCTAGTTGATTAACCAGATCCGATTGCATATTTTTCCTTTTCAGGTAGATGCAAAAGGAAAATAACCAGATGACTCTAAACCTTTGATTGTGCACCACTGTGGAACCTTCCCTTCCTTTAGCCACACAGCCTCACCAGAAGTGAGCTCAGTCAGTTAATGGGGCGATCCACCCTCCACAGAAAGGTACCTAGACTCCATGGTTACATTCCAAATTGGACCCTATTCCCTGCATAGTGTACGATTTGGGACAGGTGCCATATACCATGGGCTCCTTGTATTGGCTAAGCGTGCCCCAGACCATAACTGATAACTCTGGAGCATGTTTTCATTAGATTATAACCACCTCCTCTTTCATCATTGCTACACTGAATGAACGGCAAGAATTTGTGCAAATCATTCTGGGAAGAGAAGAGGGAGAGAGAAGGACAGCAGAAGGAAAGGGAAGTGGGACAAGAGAAGCGAAAGGCAGAAAGGCGAAAGAGAGAAGAGAAGAGAGAGAGAGAGAGAGGAGAGAGAGAGGAGAGAGAGAGAGAGAGAGGGAGAGAGAGGAAGAGAGAGCGCAGAGAGAGAGAGAGAGAGAGAGAAGAGAGAGAGAGAGAGAGAGCAGAGAGAGAGAGGAGGCTAGAGATCTAGAGTCTGAGAGTATAGGAGAGAGCTCGAGAGCGAGGCGAGCTCTCTCTCCTCTCATCTCTCTCTCTCTCTCTTCTCTCTCTCTCTTCTCTCTCCACACACACACACAAAACAACCAACAAACACACACACATCACACACACACACACACACACACACACCCACATCAGCACGCTGGACAGAGCTCAGTGTAAATGTGGGGTTGAGATGTCCCTGGGGAGAAGCAGTAGCTCATCCCTGGAAGAAAAGGAAATCAAGAAACATCATCCTGAGTGTTGTTGTTGTTACAAGGGAGGATTTATGAGTTCCCCGTTTCAGGTATTTCATTTGGAACAAGGGAGTCTGTCTAAATTAAGAAGCATGGAGAAGAATCCACGTAGCCACAGCAGGGTGCCGGGGCAGTAGTGGTTTTGGGTACAGGAGTCCAGACAGGCTTGTGTAGGAGTTTGGAAAGAAGCAAGGGGGAGAGAAAAGTGTAGAATATGGGGGACAAAGAGAAAAGGAGAAAGCCACGTATCCAAAGCAGGGTGTCTGGTCAGGCCAATGGGTAGGGCAATGCAATAGTCCAGATAGACATGCTTGTGTATAGGGCATAGAGGAAAGGGGGAAAGAGTAGGAGAGACACATATCTGCATATCCACAGCAGGGTGCCAGGTCTGGCTAAAAGGAGAAAGAGTGTTCAGACTCAGGGCGCAGGAGTCCAGACAGGAGCTTGGATAGAGGAAATGGGAAAAGAGAATCAGAGACAAAAGGACAAGGCGAGAAGGAGGATGAATGACTGCCTTAATATTTCTGGCTCAAGGACTCATTAGCAACTCTAACTTCTGTTCGTTAAAATGGCTAAATGGAACAGTCTGGGGCTTCCAGAACCTTTTCAAAACAAATATGGCTCTGCGGTCTAGGGCACCTGCTGGGTCTTAGATGCACTTAGCATTTAACTTAATACACCCAAATAAACATAACCAGTCTCCATGCTTCTGCTCCTATGCTTGACTGGAGCTGTTGATTGAATTGCATGGAAACATGCTGAGAGCTTATAGAGAAAGATACTGTGCCAGGTACAGTGGCTTGCAAAAGTATTCACCCTCCTTGGCATTTTTCCTATTTTGTTGCCTTACAACCTGGAATTAAAATTGATTTTTTGGGGGTTTGTATCATTTGATTTACACAACATGCCTACCACTTTGAAGATGCAAAATAATGTTTTTGGTTTAACAAACAAGAAATAAGACAAAAAAACAGAAAACTTGAGCGTGCATAACTATTCACCCCCCCAAAGTCAATACTTTGTAGAGCCACCTTTTGCAGCAATTACAGCTGCTAGTCTCTTGGGGTATGGTGTGGCACATCTAGCCACTGGGATTTTTGCCCATTCTTCAAGGCAAAACTGCTCCAGCTCCTTCAAGTTGGATGGGTTCCGCTGGTGTACAGCAATCTTTAAGTCATACCACAGATTCTCAATTGTATTGAGGTCTGGGCTTTGACTAGGCCTTTCCAACACATTTAAATGGTTCCCCTTAAACCACTCGAGTGTTGCTTTAGCAGTATGCTTAGGGTCATTGTCATGCTGGAAGGTGAACCTCCCTCCCAGTCTCAAATCTCTGGAAGACTGAAACAGGTTTCCCTCAAGATTTTCCCTGTATTTAGCGCCATCCATCATTCCTTCAATTCTGACCAGTTTCCCAGTCCCTGCCGATGAAAAACATCCCCACAGCATGATGCTGCCACCACCATGCTTCACTGTGGGGATGGTGTTCTCGGGGTGATGAGAGGTGTTGGGTTTGCGCCAGACATAGTGTTTTCCTTGATGGCCAAAAAGCTCAATTTTAGTCTCATCTGACCAGAGTACCTTCTTCCATATGTTTGGGGAGTCTCCCACATGCCTATTGGCAAACACCAAACTTGTTTGCTTATTTTTTTCTTTAAGCAATGGCTTTTTTTCTGGCCAGTCTTCCATAAAGCCCAGCTCTGTGGAGTGTACGGCTTAAAGTGGTCCTATGGACAGATACTCCAATCTCCGCTGTGGAGCATTGCAGCTCCTTCAGGGTTATCTTTGGTCTCTTTGTTGCCTCTCTGATTCATGCCCTCCTTGCCTGGTCCGTGAGTTTTGGTGGGTGGCCCTCTCTTGGCAGGTTTGTTGTGGTGCCATATTCTTTCCATTTTTTAATAATAGATTTAAAAATGGTGCTCCGTGGGATGTTCAAAGTTTCTGATATTTTTTTGTAACCCAACCCTGATCTTTACTTCTCCACAACTTTGTCCCTGACCTGTTTGGAGAGCTCCTTGGTCTTCATGGTGCCGCTTGCTTGGTGTTTCCCCTTGCTTAGTGGTGTTGCAGACTCTGGGGCCTTTCAGAACAGGTGTATATATACTGAGATCATGTGGCACTTAGATTGCACACAGGTGGACTTAGTGGAAGGACTAAGTGTATGGACTACTGTTCCTCCTTCTGTTAAGGTAGTATAATACCATATCTCCTGCTCTATTTTTCCTCCTAGGCACACTCACACAGTCTAGAGAACTCTTATTATTATAGGCTTCATGTCAAGTGCAGTTCAGCACAGTTCAAGGCCGTGGTTAAGTTAACTAGAGTTGCAGCGCAAATGGCACCCTATTCCCTATATAGTGCACTACTTTTGACCAGGGCCCATAAGGCTCTGGTTAAAAGTACTTCACTATGTAGGGAATAGGGTGCCATTTGGGACGCAACCCATAGGACGGGCCAGGCAAGGAATGAGGTGACACTGGTCACAATAATGAGCAAGTGCAAGATCTGTCACACACATTTCAGATATATGAAATTTCCAAAATAGAAAATAGTAAAAATAGTCAAAATGGTTCTAACAAGAGAAGAACATTGTATTACCGTATACTCGTTTTAAAGTTGTAGTCTTTCTCATATAACCTGCTGAGTAGGGACAGGGAGTTAGGGGGGCAAATGTTGCTCTGAGAGAGATTTGGGTCTGAGTGACTTATGATGAACAAGAGACTTGGTGACCTGTCATATAACTTTTTCCAGGGAACAATTTACTGCACACATGTGCTACTTTGTAGAGTGGCCCTACAGTACCGTACCGCAGGGCACTGCAAAACATTTTCACTACCTCACCCCCATAGCAGCTCCATTTTATCATTAGATATAAATGGAATTTGGGTCATTATAAATAATCACCCAGTTTATTGACTGTTTGGACAGGCAGTATCATAGGTGAATAACTGTGGATTCCCACCAAAAAGGAAAATACAGAAGTGCTTTTGGTTCTTGGTTCAGTGAGGACGTACTGATAGGGGAGGCAGACAAAGACAGAGGTGCCAAATAAAACTGCACTTCATAATCCTTCACTGACAAACCCAGGCTGAGGAGCATCTCATTATT